AAAAAACAAAAGGTGGGGCAAGAAACACCACCTTGGGTCAACAAAAAGCTGGAATAACAGCCACTGGTCAAGCCAGGGCCTGCGTGCTCGGAACTTGATCCACGCAGCTGCGAGCAGCGTCTACACACGCTCGCCACGGGGCTGGTAGAACTTCCCCCCAGGAGAGCTGTGTTTCGCTGTGGCCCCACACCCTACCAGACACGGCTGTTTTAAATAACTCCACAAATTCTTTGGTACTCCTCCCTTAAAAAGACACAGAGTCATCCGCTCCCCTTGAAATGTGGACCACACTTGGTAACTGTTCTTTACTAGTAATGGCTGGACTGTGGCAGAAGGGAGACTGTGACCTCCCAAGCTGGATCCCAAAAAGGCCATGGCTTCCACCTGGCTCTCTCTCGCTTCTGAACTGCTCACTCTCGGGGCAGCCAGCTGCCATGTCCTGCGAACACTCAAGCAGTCCCAGGGGGAGGCCCGCCGGAGGAGCGAAGGCCTTGCACCCACTCCCCAGCCACATGGGTGAGGCCCTGAGAAGGTCTTGGGATCTCACACCTCCCTGGCTGACCTCTGACCCTCCCTCCTGAGGGACCCTGGGCCAGAACAGCCAGTGAAGCAGCTCGTAACTCCCTTCTCACAGAAATTTGTTCTCCTAAGCCTCTATGTTTTGGAGTGATTTGCACACATTCTCAGATAAATAATTCATCAGCTAAGTCCTCTTCTCTCCTGCCAGGAAAAGGAAAAGGCTATAACCATGACTTAAGGCTATCCTTTTCTCCTCTGCCTAGCCCACAGATAAGGTGAGAAAATGAATTTTATATATCACATAATAATGAAGGGATATAAAAAAGGTGCCCATCTCCTTAAAACCCTATGAGAAATAAGCATTAGCAGGGAAACGAAGGGCATGATACACAGGGGACTGACATCCTATTAAATAGCTCGCTTGTCCTCACAGAGTCTGTGTAGCAGAGGCGGCTAGCCCTGTGCCCTGGCCCTCGCCTGCGGGGTGGGCAAGGCTCCCGCCCCAGCACAGCGCTCAGGCTGGAACCAGAAGTGTCCCCCAAGAAAGCCTGACTAGGTCCCCAGTTCCATCCCCAGTTGTATTCCAAATGGTTCCTTTCTCTGCAAAGGACCCAGAGCTCTGGAGTCCGCTTCCCTCTAGGGGGCAGGAGCAAACAGGGAAACAACAGCCTCAACACTGTTTACTTGTTAGCTCAGAGTGACCCTCCCTTTCCCAGACCCTCCCTTCCGGAGAAATTCCCTCCTTTATCAAATTCCTGGGAAGGAAGCCACAGTCTCGCCCTAGCTGGGCTCAGTGGATAGAGCGTCGCCCCAGGACTGAAGGGTCCGGTATGTACCTCGGTGGCAGCCTTGATCTGGGAGGCTCTCTCTCACATCAATCAATGTTTCCCTCTCTGTCTCTCCCCTTCCCTTCCACTCTCTCTAAAAATAAATGGGAAAATATCCTCAGGTGAGATTAACAACAACAACAACAAAGCCTTAGTTTCTTCCGATGCTGTTACACAGGGGTACGGTCAGAACAGCTGTCTGGTGCCTTTATTGGGCTCCTGTGGGTTCCTGCAAGGGAAGCAGCTGCCACATGGCTGTGAGCAGGCAGCTGCATGGCACAGGGCAAAAGAGGAACCAGTCTTGGAATCACAAGATCTGAGTGTAAGTCCCGCTCCCCACCTACCTGCTTGGCCTAGTCCTGAAAGAGGACTGGCTCACCCAGCAGCGGGGCTAAGGGGTGGGGGTGGGGTTGGGGGACCGAGGTCAGGGCAGGGGCTCCTTACCTAATAGAACCAGAGAAAAAAGGCTAAAGCTGGAGGGGAAGCCAAGACCCACACGGGTCCCCAAAGCCGAGAACGGGACAATAAGAACAGCAAGTCTGAACGGGCCTCAGACCACGATGGAGCACCCTTTAAACATCCCTCTGGAAAGGCAGTCACTCGGAGACCAGCCTGCAGTCACGGCCGTAAAGTCACATCTCTCCTCTACCAGAGGGCGAGGTGGCACGATGTCAGCTGGGATCTGGAGCGTTGCTGGGCCAGCAAGAACACGGAGACAGCCCAGTCTCACGTACAGGATCAAGGGGGCGGTCACAGTGTGACGCTGAACAAGTTACAGCCTTAGTTTACTCATCTGTACAATGGGATTAGCACTGATGCCTATGCTACTAGTATGCGCTTCAAACGGGAGCAGTGGGGACCCGAGGAGGTTTCTACCAAGATGCTCTGGACACTGTGCGTGCTTATGAATATAAGGTAGTAAGTTTAAAGGTAATCCAGGCAGGCACTTCCAATCACAAAGCACGAGCCTGCGGGTGCCTCTCTCGCATGGAATCTGCTTCCTTAGCACCCAGAGAAAGGTCTCCACCTCTGAAACGGAAATGGGCCCAGAGTAGTCCGATTCTGTCCTCACATAGCACCGTGACCGCCTGCTCCTTTCCCGCAAATAGGGAAACAACAGCTTGAGGGCCGAGTGCAAAAGCAGTTCCACATTCGAGACACCCTGGAAATTCCGCTCCTGGCCCAGCACTATCTTTGTAAGCTTGAATAGTTCTTCAGAAACCGAATTCCGGGGAGGGGGGTGCGGGGGAGGGGGGTTCCTT